TCTTAAATTTCAAGTCAGAGGGAATATAGCAACTTTCCTTGCCAACGAGCTGAATACTCGTGTTTACTGCCCAGATTGCTTCCACAAACCATCACCAAGATGTTAAAAAGTAGAGTTGCAATCCAAGTCAGATACACACATAGAGCTACATTCTTATTGGTCTTCCAATTATATCTCAAGATATTCATCTTCTTCCAAAAGATAAAAGAAGGGTCTTTTAAACAAGCATGTAAGGACTTCATTTTAGGAAAAAAGAAGAGCAGTATAGGGGGAAAGGCACTTGCCTTGCATGCAGTCAACCCTGGTTGGACACCAGAATGACATATGGCTCCCAAAACACCAACAGGTCCTCAGCTCAGTCAGTGTGGCACAGTCCCCCAGCCCCCACCAAATACTAGACACAGAATCAGAGAAGTAGCTCAAAGGGCTCGTCATATGCTGTGCATGTTAGGAGGTCCAGGTTCAATTCCCACACACCTGGTACATCTAGCTCTGCTTTGTATCCACATGTCCCTCTGCAAAATAATAAAATACTAGACACAACCAAAGATACTAAAGGTAAACTCACTGTAGCCCCAATATATAAACTAGCATAACCTCCTTGATGCTGTTGGAATCTCTTGTAAGTAGCACATCAGCAACCAGGATTGTTTCTCATCCCTCACTCATCCCTCAAAGAACCCGCAACTATAAATAGTTTAAGAAATTATAATCAGGGGCTGAGAGATAACTCAATGGATTGGTGTACAAGCACTGTGGGGAGCAATTCCCAGACCAACACTGGGTGTGGCCCAAAAAACAGAAAACGACTATGTAATCAACAAGCACAAACTGGTCTTTATGAAAAATAAAGTTTGCTTAAACCTTTGAAGTTTACAAAGTACGTTTCACTGATTTTCACTGAATTCTGCAGCCTTGTTAAGTCGTGAGGGCAATCTGCTATCCCTATTTTATAGATAAAGGATGCAGAGTCACTTAAATACACTTTGTGGACAGCGCTTCCAACCCATCATGTGACACCAATCTCAAGCTCTTTTCACAGCACAGTGTCTCATTATACATCAGCAAGTTATAAAACTATCATTTCTGCCCCACTTATATACGTCCATTATCGATACTATAAGAATAAGTGGCAGCTATTCATGACATCACAAGTTTTAAGTACGTAAGAGAAAGAAAACAGAATTTTCTCTGAGAGGCTGGCACTGTTCAGGACCCAACCTAAGCTTGTATAAAGTAGTACTAACAAGAGCTCTTCAGGTGCCAGAGGGAAAGTAAAGTGGCTGGCCTGGGTTCCATCCCCAGCATCTCATATGGTCCCCTGAGCACTGCCATGACTGATTCCTGAGTGTGGAGCCAGGAGTACTCCTGAGCATTGCCAGGTGTGGCCCCCAAACAACAAACAAAAAAATAGCTCTTTGGGTAGGTGCTGGCATTGACTCCGGAAATAAACTCAGTACAGGAGCAACCGGACTAATAAGCTTCACATACCCAATGACACGGCAGAGATTTAACCATATGTCTGCAATATACCATCCTGCCTCACATGATATATCACAATGTCCTTTTTCGAACAATACTAAAAATGTTTTAGGTTTATATATTTTAATGTTCTTGCAAGTTGAGGAAATGAAGTCTCCTCCTACTTATTTCAGTCACAATCACATGTCCCAGCACAGTACCTCCTCTCTCCTAATTTTATCCACCTTAACTCTTAGCATCTGTTGGTTTCCTAGTGCCCTGGGAAAGGGGCTACCTGTTAGAACAACGAAAAGTCAATGATATATATATACTTAATAGCATTTTTAGAAGATAACAGGAACCACGTGAACATTTTGCCCTCGGTCTAAGTTAATTTTTAGCAAACAGCATGTATCAATATAAGAAATGTGTGCTTGTCCGAGTAGTAAATGAAAACAATGAACAAGCTAATGAACAATCATTTTAACGGTCACTTGGAGAGCTTTAATCAATCCAGAAAAGATACAAGAACAACAAAATGCATAAAAATAATGACATTGCTCCCTGACTCTGAACTTCCTAGTCATTACTGTGAAACAAGGGAAACAAAGAGTTTTAGTCTCTATTTACCCCTCTTCTTTCAGGTGTAAAATGCTAAAGGACACCGATAGAAAAGAGACAGTAAATGGCTTCTGTTTTCTGGAATCTTGAAAGGAACCCTGGCAAGGTATGCATATGCATGCGTTCTAACAAGGAGCAACATCCCCAGCCCTTTCAATAGTTTTTAACTTGGAAGAGATTACTGAAGGATTTCCCAGAACGAAATTTAGCTAGCTTTTGCAAATTAAGGTGTATTTATGATTCCCAGAGGGTGCTTCCTAATCTGAGGCAAACAGGAGGAACTTTGTTAACTGTAAATTATAATGACTAGCTTTAGACAGGCTTTTTAACCAAAATTCTTTGTTCAGGGAACAAGAAAACCTGAGGCTATCTATCAGAGCTAAACGGGAGAGGCAAGTGGAAAAGCCTGCTGGAAAGTCTAGGAACAAGGGCTGGGGTCGATGAAAAGGAAACAGGAAGAGCTGGGCTGGAGGAAACTAGCCAGGGGGGAAGGAAGGAGGAGTTAAGGTTGAGGAAGGCGGGAATCCAGGAAGTATAAGGAAGGAAATGAATGCCAAGACCGAGGTTTGCCAGATTCCGCCCCCTGGAAAGAATCCTCATCCACAGACTGAAAAGCTGAAGGAAACAACGAGCCAACAGAGAAAGTGGGGTTCACTTAAGACACAGGGAAAGCGCTTTGTACTGATAAAGGCATACAGGGAGAGCCACTGGAGAGCAGAAGTCCCTTTCTAGTGCATTTTTTAAAAGTGTCAACTTGGAGTGAACTGTCATGGCATGTGAATTATCTAATAAATCTGTTCTTTATTAAAAGTGTACTGAAGCAGTCGGAGAGAGCCAGTGCTTATGATTTAATCATCATGGCTTGCTCGGCCTGTTGAATGACCCCCCCCCCAAACACACACACACACACACACACACACACACACACACACAAACACACCAGGTGCCTCTCCCAGTAGGATGAGTTCTTCCCAGCGTCCCATCATCTGTTGGAATCTTATCAATCCAGGAGACAGGAATATGATGGGGGGGGGGGGCAGAATTAGGGGGAGGGGGGAACTGCAAGCTCTTAGATGCTCTCCCCCCACCCTTTGCCCCCTGTTTTGCCTTGGTAATTTCTGGGAAGAAGCTTTTGCTGAAGGCTGGGGGTTGGGGGTGGGTAATAGTTATGCCTTTAAGTGGGATATCGGGTTTCTTTTAGGGGATGATGGAGGGCCAAAATCTACCTCGTCGAAGGGAACATGATCTGGAGTGGAAGAGTCAAGTCCGTTCTGCAGAAACCCCAGAAACCCCAGACGGTTTATCACGCAAACGATCGCGGCACCACTTATCTCTCTGCTCCACCCAAATCGGACAGCTCGCCCCCGTGTCACTTCCGACTGCTACTCGCGGACCAAGCCCGATGCTCTGCCACGATCCCAGAAGTTTCGGGCGAGCTGCCCACTGACGTAATATATATATATATATATATAATTTTTTTCAGAGCACCCCTTCCGGGGGGTGGGGGAGCAGGGCCTGGAGGATGCCGCGCAGCGCCACGTCCAGCGCTGGGCCGTCCCTTCCTCCCTCTGCTCTGCTCGGAGGAAATGGGGACCAGGGAGCGCAGGAGGAGCGCGGGAACGCCGGGGCAGCCCCGCCGCCCCCATCCCCACCAGCCGGGCCCCGGGAGGGGGGCGTGGGGAGGTGGGGGCGGGGACCCCTGCCCGCCTCCCCCCGGGGACAGCGGGGACCGCCGCCCGCCCCCCGCCCGGCCAGCCGGCCCGGGCCTCCCCGGGAGCAATAGGCTATCGATTCAGCAGCCTGTCGCTAGGAGCCCCGGGAGAGCGAGGCCTACACCTCCCGGCCCGAGCCCCGGCCTCGATTTCGCCACTTGGCCCCACACCGGAGGAGCAGCCCCGGGGGGTGGGGGGGGGGAGAGGAGAGAGGGGGAGAGATGAGGAGGGGGGTGGGCAACCCGGGCCGGCTGCCGCGGGCGGGAGCTGGGGGCCGTGGAGGTAGGGAGGGGGGTGGGGAGCCGAGACCACCTGCAACGGCAGGCGGGCTGGAAAGCGGGTGCACCGGGCGCCCGCCAACAAGTCTCCGGGGGTCGCCCCCCACCCCCGCCGAGCCCCCCCACCCACCCAAGTTGCGCATCCAAGTTCCAGCCCGCGGCCCCCTCCCCGGCCCGACGGGAATAATAAACACGAGACGCGGAAGAGGCCCGCGGACGGAGCCGGGCACCCCACCACCACCACCCCCCAAACCCCCGGGGACGCCGACGGGGGAGCGGCCCCCAGCCCCCCGCCCGCAGCCCGCACCTCCCCGGGGGGGGCTGCCCAGCGCTGTCACCACCCGCGTCTGCGGCCCCTTTCCCCCCCCCCCCGCACCCGGGCATCACCCCCCCAACACACACACAGACACACACACTCCCCGCCTCCGCCACCACCCCGTGTCCCCCGCACCTTCTATTTATTTTATCCCCCCCCCCAAGTACGCGGAGGCAGGAGTTTCCCATCCAACTTTGCCCAACCGTAACCTCGCCCCCCCGCCCCCGCCCTCCGCCCTCCGCCCGACCCGCTGCACTTTCCCGGGTAGTGGCCGCGAGCCCCGCCGCTTGGCACTCGGGCTCGGGCGAAACTCCGGACCTGTCAACCATTTTAGGCCTTTTTAGAGAGAGCGAGAGAGAGAGAGAGAGAGAGAGAGCGAAGACATCCTCGCCTTCCCCTCCCTCCCGGCCTCCCCCCCTCCCCGCTGCCGGGGTTTCATCTGACACCCCAGCTTCCCACCGCAGGGAGGGGACAGGGGGGACGCGGGGGCACACAGGAGGAGGGGGAGGGGGCGGCGATCGAGGAGGGGAGGGAGGAAGAGGCGAAGGCCGGGGCACCGGGGTGGGGGGAGGAGAGGGAGGCCGCGGGGAGAGGGGAAGGGGGTTGATTTACCTGAGACCAGCCACTGGCCTCCATTGTTGGAGAATTCAATGGCATTGACACAGCCGAAGTGGCCGAGGAGGTCCTTCTTGTAGAGGTTTCTGCAGCCCCGCAGGCGTCTCCTCTGAAAGTCCTGAGTGAGCAGGGGGTCCCCATGCAAGCCCCGCTGGGACAAGAAGCCCACCACTGACCTCATGCTGCCCCCCAGGCCAGCAGCTCTCCTCTTCATGCTGGAACCGCCGCCGCCGCCGCCGCCGCCGCCGCCGCCGCAGCCGCTCGCGCCGCCGCCCCGCCCTCGGCCTCCCGCGCGGCCGCCGCGCTGCCCCCCCCGCCCCCCGCCCGGCCCGGCCCGGCCCGCGCGCGGCGATCCGGAGGCGTCGCTAAACAGCCATGGCAGACGGAGCGAGGTGTGTGTGCGGCCGACGCTCGCCGCCGTTCGCGGCTTCCCGACCGGCCCCCCTCACCCCCACCCCCGCGCCCTCCCCCCCCCCCACACACACACCCCGCCCGCCGCGACGCCCCCAGGCTCCGCCCTCGGCGGCTCCGCCCCCTCCAGCAGCTGATCCTCAGCTGCCGCCGCGCTTCCGCGATGCGCGGCCCCGGGGAACGCAGGCGGCGGCGGCGGCGGCGGCGGAGGAGGAGGAGGAGGAGGAGGAGGAGGAGGAGGAGGAGGAGGAGGCGGCCCCTCCCCCGTCGCGAGCGGGCGGCCGGCCGGAAGAACGCGGGCGGCTGGGCTGGCGACGACCGAGGGCGGCGGCTCCCTCCGAGCATCCCGGCTGGCGCGGTACCCCGCGGCACTCGGTTGAAGTTGAATGCGTGTCTAGAGCAATCCGAGGGATGGGTGGGGGGAGTGCTGCCCATCCATCCCCAGTCGAGGTCCGGGGGTGCCCCCCACACACACAGCTACACAACGCAGAGGGGTGGGGTGGGGGGAAGAAAACAGCTCCTCGTGGGGAAGCGGAGAGAAGGGGGCGAGGACCCGACGCTCTGTTAGCATCCTAGGGCCGCCCCAGCTCTGTAGCGCCAAGAGAGCCCCAGAATTAGGGCTGGACGGTTGAGGGGAAGTAGATTGCTTAGAGATTTTTTTTAATGTGTTTTTTTTTTCTTTTTGTTTGTTCCTCCGTCTCCACCTCACCTCCGGCAGGAGCTCTGAGATTCTTGGAGGTGGGGACTACCCACGGTGCTCGGACGTCACCTCCGCCGCCTTCTCCACCTCCCCGGGTACCATAGGAGGCGCCCGGAATAGAATCGGGGTGGGCCGGATGCAAGGCAAGCGCCCTGCCCTCTGGACCAGCTCTCTGGCTTCTGTCACATTCGCAGCATCACACTCTTCCCCCCCCCCCCCCCACCACCACCACCCTCCATTTCCAATTCTCTGACTCCCGCTTCCTCTAGCACCCCCCCCCCCCCCCCCCCCGAGGAAAAAGCTAAGTATTTCCGTCTGGTAGATAAGGGAGCAGTATCTGGGGGGAAAAGAGAAAGGGAATCTTAAGTGAGAAGAAAAATTGCCTAAATTGAGAAACCCTAAGGAGGTCCATTTACAAGACAGAAGAAGCATTATTTGAAAGGAGCAATAGAGCTGTGTAATTGGGGGGCTGGCGAGCTCCCTCTCCGAGGTCTAGAGCCGGGAGCTCAAGAGGCGGTGCAGCTGTTAAGCGGCAGCTGCGCTCCAGGCCAGAAGTAGCTGCACTTCAGTAGGCTGGGAGCCTCTGAGTTGACCCCAGAGAGAGCTTGGAATTTTACCAGATACAGTGAAAAGCCCCGTCTCAGTGCGTTGTAAATTTCCCTACAGGCTATGCTCTGTCGTTAATCGTAACACGCCTGTTAGAATAGGCAGGTCTGTCGGTGTTGCCCTTTCCGTTTCGCAGGAATTACATCCTCTACTCCAGAGATGGAACATCCTCTAAAACACAGACTCAACGTGCAGAACGCAGACCTGAGGCAGAGGTCTCCTAGGCCGGTACAAGAGTGCATACTTGGGGGCTGGAGTGATAGTACAATAGGAAGGGTTTGATTCCCGATTGCCCAAAACCTTTTCTTTAAAGGAGTGCATCCTTGGATACTTGGCGTGTATGAGGCCCTGGGTTCCATCCCTGGCACTAAAACAAAATCACCTAGTGCTTCTGTACAGTGATAAGTTTAATTATACAAATAACAAATATGCAAGAATGTTAAATGTCTACTACAGAACCTATTCCTGAGCTTAGCAGGAATTCACCAAATTGCTTTAAAATGATGCTTTGGGAGGCTGGAGCGATAGTACAGCGGGTAGAGCAGTCTGCCCTGCACGCGGGTGACCGACCGGGGTTCTATTCCCAGCATCCCATAAGGTCCCCTGAGCACCGCCAAGAGTAATTCCTGAGTATAAAGCCAGAAGTAACCCCTGTGCATCGCCAGGTGTGACCCAAAAAGCAAAAAATAAATAAATAATAAAATTAAATGATGCCTTGGGTGAAATATTGTCTCCCTAACCAAATGTGTGCTGCTAAATTTCTTCTTTATTCCTTCTTTGGGCTGGAGCGATAGCACAGCGGGTAGGGCGCTTGCCTTGCTCGCAGCCAACCTGGGCAGACCCGGGTTTGATTTTTCTGCCCCTCTCGGAGAGCCCAGCAAGCTACCAAGAGTATCGCACCCGCACGGCAAAGCCTGGCAAGCTATCTGTGATGTATTCAATATGCCAAAAACACTAACAAGAAGTCTCACAGTGGAGATGTTACTGGTGCCCGCTCGAGCAAATCAATGAACAATGGGAGAACAGTGCTATTCCTTCTTTACTCTCAGGTTGCTTCATAACATTCAGTCATTAATCTGTAGAGACCAATAATACTAACTTGATTAATGATATTTTGCACCCAACATCTTTTCTTCATACTAACATCATAATGTATGATTGCATCTTTTCTTCATAGCAATACCATATCGCAGTTGTTTTGTTTTGTTCTCTTTTCTTTTTTGGGTCACACCCGGCGATGCACAGAGGTTACTCCTGGCTCTGCACTCAAGAATTACTCTTGGCAGTGCTCAGGGGATCATATGGGATGCTAGGAATCAAACCTGGGTTGGCTGCGTGTAAGGCAAACACCCTACTCTCTGTGCTATCACTCCAGCCCCCAAAACTGCATTTATTTTTGTGATCATATCATACTGTCTTTAGCTCTGCTGTAAGATTCCTCAGACCATGTCTGTGCTGTCCAGGTCCAAAACCAACATATCCTGGAACTTTGTGGCCGCTCAAATATTTGTTAAATAGAGGAAGTAGGGAGCAAGGAATGAATTTGGATGGAAATCATGACTTCAACTTGGGTGCATGATATTTGAGGTATCTGTGCTGCATTTCAGGGGAGATTATCTCAAGGCAGTCTCTGCTATTTCTTTGCTTGACATTCAGTTCACATATTCAAAAACAGGGAGTCTTCTGTCTCCTTCCAATTAACAGAACATCCTTTCTAACTAACTTATTTGCCTGGGTTTGCAGAGAAGAACACAGAAATGATGTGGTTGAAGTGGTTTTCCCAGTGGCAATGTGTATGACACACCCTCCTCTCTAAAATATTTAACTTTTCTCCACTATTTTAAATGTGACTCACTTTCCCCCAATGCCTGGGATAACACCCATTTACCTCAGCCTAAATATAGACTGGCATATAGTCATGTGGCAGCCCAGTTCTAGGACTTTGCTAGAAATTTCCTTATTAACTGTTCTGTATTCAGCTAGGGCAGAAAGGTGGGACCACTCAGCCTATTAATAATAATCCTGCTTCAACTCTATACAGATTTTTGTTAGGAGAGTACATTAAAATCTCTCTATCTTAACTAGAATTGCTACACAAAATACTGGATAACCAGTTCAATATGAAGACCAGACAATCAGGAAAACAATTTTCAACACATGTCCCATGCAATATTAAGAATATACTTAAACTTAAATAATAATTCCATTTACCTGAAATTCTACTTGAACTGGGCATCCTGTAAATTTTATTTAATTTTTGGCTTTTGAACCACGACCAGGTAGGAATACTGGCTCTGCACTCAATCACTGGGGACATATAGGATGCCAGAAATCAAACCCAGTTCAGCCACATACAAGGTAAATGCCCTTCCCACTGTACTATTGCTACAGCATCCCTCTGTATATATAATTTTTTAAAAATTTTATTTTTTTGTTTTTTGGGCAAATGTCCTACCTGCTCTATCACTTTAGCTCCTTCTTGTTAATTTTACACTTCCATATGGACAACCCCTGACAAGCAACATCAGACACTTTTTTAAAGGTATTTTTTACATTATAGTAAGATAACCAAGATTTTTTTTCCAGAGAAGTTCCCTTGGATATATAGTATTCATTAAAGATCTTCAATGTGATAATTATTTAGAAAATAAAGTTAGGCATGCCTCTAACCCAAAGTAAAATATGCCCAATGAAAACCAAGAAGATTCTTTGGTACTGCATCAAATAAATTTAAATTGTTTTCATGGATTCAGTGGTAATTGAGGACAAACTCCTAGAAAATTAATAGTGTTTATAAATTTGTGCCTCTACCTTTTTTCCCCTTCATCAATTTTTATTTAGGCACAGTGAATTATAAGACTGTTAATGATAGCATTTCAAGCATACAACATTCCAAAACCACACTCACCATCTTGTAAACTTTGATAGTATTTGGTTCATATTCCCCAAAATGCCATGAAAATTTTTATGAGAACTATGTGGTATCTGTATAGTGCTTTGGGTGGAATGATCATGCCTTTTACCTTCTGAACAAATTACATAAACCCATAATGTAAATGCAAGTCAAATTATCATTTTATTTTTTTTTAGCCATATCCACTGAAGTTTGAGGGCAAATCCCAGCTCTGTGCTTGGAAACGGTCTTAGTGGTGCTCAGGGAACTATATGCAGTGCCTAGGATAGCTATGAGCTAGCTGTATGCAAGGCAAGTGTCTTAACCTCTGTACTATCTCTAGCGCCAGTATATATTTTATAGAACTATTTTGGCTACTGTGAGAAGAAAAGAGTGGAAGGGGCTCAGAATGGACAGCTCCCGGAGAATGCACCAGGTCCCAAAAAGCCGAGATCACAGGGAAGTCCCAGATGGGGTAGGTGCCACATCCCGCCTCCTCCACATGGAACCCCAGTGACCATGAGCCTCTACAAGCATAGCTCGAGTATGTGGGAACCAGGACTTGGACTTTTACTGCAAACGGCCGGGACCACCCCGGCTCCCAGGTAACCTCTGATTCAGGAAGTTATGCCCACAACCCGCCTCCCAGCGCCATCTTTACAGCACACAGCAGCAGAGAAGA